GAAGAAGGACCTGGTTACTCACTTCTGAGAAAACTGGCCATGAAAACCCTATGAATAGCAATGGAGCATTGTCTGATATAGTGCTGGAAGATGATGGAATGGTGAAAAAAAGACCAGGCAGGGTTCTGCTCTGCTGTACACAGGGTCACTAGGAGTCAGAATCCACTCAATGGCACTAACAACAACAAACTTCCTACTATGGAAGATGAAGATTTCACTTTCTCACACATTTCCCCCTATTCTCCCATGTCCCTCCAACCCGGTTCTACACTGGGACTTGTATCATCCTCTCAATTGTGTAATTTTTGTTAAATTCATATTCAATATATATTAAGTATACATAGTTAATGTTGTGTTCTGTAGCATACTACAGTTACATTTCCTTTCTTTTAGAATATTTTTGTCTTTCTGAAAGTAGTAATTGCCTTGGTTGTAATTTGCTCAATTTACTTTGTATTTTTATTAATCTACCACCAGAATCATTTGTATTTATTCATTTATTCCATGTATCACTCACTGGGAGACATTCTTCCTTGAGTCTTTCATCTTTTTGTTTAGGCATCCAAGATATGGAGGATCCACTTCTTTTTCTTTGCTCATTTATGCCTTTGTTTTAATGCAGTCCATCCTCTAGTAGCTTCTTGAGAAAAGGTGCATTGGAGGTTCCTTTTTCTTTTAAGTAGCACCTTGCTCTTGTTTGAGAGTGTAATGTGTTTTCATCATTCTAAGGGTATTAGTTTAGGTTTTTTTGGTTGTTTTAAAATTTTCTTTGCTTCCTGCATTAACACTATTTCCTTGATGTTCCTTTTTTCTGTTTGGTTTGGTCACAGTCTTTCAAGTTACAGTCTTGCCTTAATTATCTCAGGATCCTTCATATTTGAGAGACACAAAGAAAGCTAATTGGAAAGTCTCTGTGCTTGGGTAGGACTCTTCAGTGGTGGGCTTCACTGTAGGGTAAGGGAGCAACAAAACTTTTTCTTTAGCCATCCCTCCTACCCCCAATTGTATTCTGAAGCTTTTTCTTTGGGATAGGTCAGTTTTTCTAGAGAGGAAGCTTCCAGCTTTCTGAGGTGTTATGAACTGGGCTGTCAAGAGTTCTTGGAGACAAGTGAGATCAGGTGGCTGGGTATCTCATTGTTCAGTATTCAGAGTTTCACTTTATCTTCCTGTTTTCAGTAAGGGATCTCACTGCCATTCCTACCTTCAGATGTTTAGTTGGAAGTTTCACCTGCCTTTTTTTTTTTTTTTTTTTGAGGAAGATTAGCCCTGAGCTAACATCCGATGCCAATCCCCCTCTTTTTGGTGAGGAAGATTGGCCCTGGGCTAACATCAGTGCCCATCTTTCTCTACTTTATATGGGACGTTGCCACAGCATGGCTTGTTGAGCGGTTCCACACCTGGGATCCAAACCTGCAAACCCTGGGCCGCCGAAGTGGAGTGCATGAACTTAACCGGTATGCCACCGGGCTGGCACCTTTCACCTGTCATCTATACCCATTAATGTTAAGTGAATGAAAACAGCAACCCAAAATATCAACTGCCTATAAATATCATATGGTACTGATTCACACAGTAATAACAGCATAGTATTAAATGTTTGACATGCATTATCTGATTTAATCTACAAAATTACTACTATGAGGTAGGAACTATTATTATACCCACATGGATACTCTTCAACTAGATTCTACCATTATGATAATTTATTAAAATTACTCTCCTTTTTCCTTTTCCCTTCTTATCCTTGCTCCTGGAGAAACTTGTAGCACTGAAAAGAGATGGTGACAAAATTACATTTTTCTATTAATAAATTGCTGTCCTTTTAGACACTGAAAAATAATTTTTACTGGATGATGGGAGAAACATTCAAGTTTCCTTTTTTTTAAAATAATACAAATTTCTCACAGATTAGCTGCCGATCCTACCTCTGTCCAGTATTTTTGTGGCATACACATACTAGATAGCAAAACGGTATGTTATCACAGAATAACAAGAGACATCACTGAGATCATAAGGCAGGTAAGAAAGACCACGTAAATAAGGAAACGTGCGAGATTAATTCTGAACTCAGGCTGCTCACTGTTGCCGCTGTTTCTAGGACATCTTCCTTCTGTTCCGTTATGAAAATAATGCACAGTATTTAAAAATGTGATCTGGCTATTCTCCTACATTTCTAAAACTCTATGATGTACCCTTGCATTATCAGAGTAAAAGTGATAGTCTCCCATGATTGAAATAAAGCAGCCACCTCTTAAATGATGTATTAAATCATATGCTATATTTTTACATTTTGAGGCATCTGTTACAGACATTAGTAATGGTTTTCCTCTTAAGAGTTTTATTGTAAAAGTCAGTGCAATTTCAGAATAACTGACAACTGAAATTGTCTTTATAAGTTTGATCTAATATAGAAAATAAATTATTCTAATTAATTTATTAACCCTTTGGTTCTTCAAAAGATAGAAGGAAAATTATATTTGGGTAAATAGGATACATTATTTATCATGTGTTTTTTTCTTTAAAAAAGTACCAGGAATCCAAAGGTGTTACAATTGTAGAGTCTGCTTTAAGTATCTGCAAGTGGGGATATTCAGTTCCTATCCCATACATACAAAAGGTAAAAATAATAAGTATTTGTTTACCCACCAAACATGCTAAATAAAATGTTAACAATATTATTGTTAAAGCCTCCAGTGTTCTCTCCCCACAAAGGAAACCATTCTGAATTTGGTATTTATTATTCTCATAATTTATTTATACTTTATACTATATATGTACATATATAAATAATAAATTGTATTTTGTATGTTGTACCGTATATGTTTCTGTAATTCTTTTCTCTAGACATGGTAAGAGTCATCCATGTTAATATGTGCACTTCAGTTTTTTCATTTTTATTAATCCTCATCAGCTGTGTCTAATCTGCTGTTAAACCCATCTACCAGGTTAATTTCAGTTATTGTATTTTTAAATTCTAGAATTTCTATTTGATACTCTTTTGTAGTTTCCATTCCTCTAATAAATTTTTCCATTTTGTCATGTTATTGAATATATAAATCACAATTATTTTAAAGTCTGTGTCTGAGAACTCCCATATGTAGATCTGTGGATCAGTTTTTATTGTGTCTTCTCTTATTTTTCAATAATGAAGTCCCATTTACTGCTATTTCTAGTAAGTTTTGATAGAATTTTGAAGACTGTATATGAAAACTGTAGGGATCATTTGTGGCTCTGGCTCAGAGGTCTGCAAACTATGCCCCACGGGCCAAATCCTGCCTGCCACCTGTTTTTGCCTGAGCTTTGAGCTAAGGATGTTTGCTATATTTTTAAATGGTGGAAAAATAATTAAAAGAATATTTTGCAACACATGAAACTTAAAATTCAAACCTACGTGGCCATAAATGGTTTTACTGGAATACGTAGTGACCACTCATTCATTTACGTATTGTCCATGGCTGCTCTTGTGCTACAGTATCAGAGTTGAGTGGTTTCAATAGAGACCTTATGGCCCACAAACCTAAAATATTTACTGTTGCCAACCCCTGCTCTAACTAGATAATGGTATCTTTCTCCAAGAGAGCGTGTACTTCTGGTAGGCCCTTAGGGTATCAGGAAGACTGCCTTAATTCGTTCAGGCATTTAGTTGATTCAAAGCTGGTCTTACATTTTTATGAGGGTTGGTCAATTTATGTTCACCTCTACTCCTAGAGTATAGCTTTTCAGGGGTTCCAACTAAAAGCCTGGAGTATTTACCCAGGCTGCTATTCCTTGATGGACCTAGTACTTCAATGTTGGCCCGCTCTCTACAGTTTTCCGTGTCTGTGAGATTGTGGCTCTTCAAATCCTCGCTGCTTTAGTATATTTGCCCTGGTAATACTTGTTTATATAAATATATAAACAAAATCTGTTTAAAGACATGAAAGAATTTCTAAGGCAGCAAGGATTTGAAAAGCCACGGTTTCAGGGAGAAGGAAAGCTGTAGAGGATGAACTGATATCGAAGTGAGTTGTGTGTGTGTGTTTTCCAGCTTTTCTAGTTCTTGTAGGGAGTTTGCTCTGCTAGAAACTAGACGGACATTATCAGAAATAGAAGTCCAAGGTGACCATATCACATCCCTACCCTAGATTCTCCAATGGCTTAATATATCACTTAGGACAAACCAAGTCCTTGTAGTTACTTGCTAGGCCTTATATGATCTGAATGACTACCTAAATGAGACTAAAATCAGATGGGTCTGAAGAGGCACAGACAGAAGAAAGCACAAATTTGTTTTACCATCAATGCACTAACAAGTGTAGGACTTCACATTCCAAAGGAATATACTCATGCTGGTGGGATTCGTTTACATTTATACCTTTTTTTTTCTATTTTCATTGTTTTTTGAGATAAATTATAGAAAATGTATATTTTTAAGTGTTCAATGAGTTTTGATAAATGTATATACCTATGTACTAACACCTCAATCAAGATATAGAGCATTTCCATCACCCTAGAAATTTCCTTCTTGCCTTTTCCAGTTATTCTTCTCCCCTCCACAGAAGCAACCTGTTCTGATTTCTGTCCCCATACAGCATATTAATTTTTTAAATTGCAAATTATATCACTACCGTACTGGTCACAACACTGCCCTAAGTCTTTGGATGCTGTTAATGTATTTTCATCATTCATATTTCACCTACTTTTCTAGATCCCAGATTCTTGGTATTTTAAGGTCAAGTCTGTTTGTTAATCTACTGGTCTAGCTCATAGCCTCTTTGATGAATAGAAGCTATGCTAATACAAATTGTCACACATTATGATTAGGTAATACAAGCGATCTGGTCTTTTGGAATACTCTTGAACTATACTAAACGATTTGAAAATTAATTCCTGGAATGCCAACCCTTATATTTCCATGGCAAGTCACATACATTATCTCAATCCTCAGTAGCCTTTGGAAGTAGGCAGGGAGAAATGGTATTTCTCAATTTACAGTTGAGAAAAAGATTCACCGAATATTTGACTTATACAAAATCCCCTTCCCATTAGCCAGTGGTGCCAGGGCTAGATTTTTATTCTTTTGCTCATTCCACTATCTTAGGCTGCATGTAGACAAGGAAAGCGCCAGCTTGTATTCCAAAATTCAATTTCCTTGTTTCTTCTCTGAAAATTCATAGGCTGCCCACTCCTTCCATCCTCCAGCATAGTGTTGAGCACTGAAAACATACATCAAATAGTTAGAACTACAGACATTTTTTCCTGCTTGATAGGAACTTCAGAGATAAGAACTTTAGAGGTTTAGAGATGCAATGGCTGCTCACCATACTATTTAGACTTTAAGCCTATTTAAAAGATTGTGTTCCTTTTGAGTAGGATGAGAAGGTAGGGGCTCTTAGTCTTGCTATCCTGCCATTATTAACATGATAATTCTAAGAAATTTTTCAGCAGACTAATAAAAATGTAATACAGTAGTCCCCCCTTATCCACAGTTTTGCTTTCCGTAGTTTTAGTTACCTGTGGTCAACTGCGATCCGAAAATATTAAAATGGAAAATTCCAGAAATAATTCATAAGTTTTAAATTGTGAGCCATTTTGAATAAGGTGATGAAATCTTGTGTTGTCCCACCCAGGATGTCAGTCATCCCTTTGTTGAGCGTATCCACGCTGTATATGCTACTTGCCTGTTAGTTATTTAGTAGCCATCTACGTTATCAAATCAACTGTCACGGTATCACAGTGCTTGTGTTCAAGTAACCCTTATTTTACTTAATAATGACCCCAAAGCACAAGAGTAGTGATGCTGGCGATTCGGATATGCCAAAGAGAAGCCGTAAAGTACTTCCTTTAAGTGAAAAGGTGAAAGTTCTCGACTTAATAGAGAAAGAAAAAAATCATATGCTAAGATCTACAGTAAGAATGAATCATCTACCCGTGAAATTGTGAAGAAGGAAAAAGAAATTTGTACTACTTTTGCTGTCACACCTCAAACAACAAAAGTTAATGGTTACAGTGTGAGAATAGTGCTTAGTTAAGATGGAAAAGGCATTAAACTTATGGATGGAAGCCTTGAACAGAACATGTGTTCCAACTGACAGCAACGTGTTGTGACAGGAAGCACTGAACCCATACAAAGACTTCAGCATGGGACCCCCTGAAGCAAGTGACACCAAGCCATTTACTGCAAGTCAGGGATGGGTACACAGATTCAGGGATAGGTTTGGACTGAGAGACACCACATTCACGTAACTTTTATTACAGGATATTGTTATAACTTTTCAATTGTTTTATTATTGTTGTTAATCACTTACTGTGCCTAATTTATAAATTAAATTTTATCATAGGTATGTACGTATAGGAAAGAAACATAGTATATATAGGGTTCAGTACTATCCAGTGTTAGACATCCATTGGGGGTCCTGGAACATATCCCCTGTGGATAAGGAGGGACTACGGTACATATGAAACATTGCAATACACATTCTTGAATCTCTTTTTATCCTTCATCTACGCACCTGTTAAAGCCCAGAGATATTGCTGTGTCCAGAGCCTTCTTGCTTCTCACTCCGGCTAAACAAGAAAATACTAGACTGTCACATCTGGATGGCTTTACTTCATTGTACTTCTCTTTGAAGGCTTTTGGGTTCATCTGTAGAGCTTCACCCACCTCATCCACTGAAAGAAAATGTTAAGAATTTCAATTAAATTTTATACAGTAAATTATTGAATATACATTTTTTTAAATGAATCACTTTAAGACACATGTCACTTACATGGTATATTGACAGACCCGGGGATTTTTCCATACTCAAGAATTTCCCATGCCTCTCTAACATCAATTAGCATAATACTTTTGGAATTCAACAGGTTTTTAAGTTCCTTATAAGTGACATCTTTAGAAACAGCCGTACAAAAATTCTGGCAGCTTCCTTTTATTGACTTCAAACCTGGAAAGAATAAAGTAATTTAGTCACCTTCAAAATGCCAAACAGGCAGGCTGGCAGCACCAAGCAAGGAATGCAGCACCAATTTTATGTAAATTATAAGTCCCAGATGCCCAGTTCAGTCTGCTCCATGCTTTTTTCCCCCTCCACCCATCTTTTCCACCTCCTCTGCTAGTCAGGGGTGTTCTTGCCACCTGCTGTGTGTCCGCGTCCTCACAATACTGTTCTCCTTACTGTGCCACCAGAACACTTCAAAATGACATCGCTATTAATATCTGGAAAGAGTAGGTCAAAGGAAATTTCCCTGTGGTTCCAGTCAGCTAACCATAGTTGATTTTTTGACTTTATACTAAACTGTGTGTTCAATGTCTGTATTTAGCACACAGCCTGGCTTGGAGCAGCAGGATGCAGCCCTATCCTCCTGCCCTGCATGCTTCATGGCTGGCCTTGTGCTGGCTCTATATCCTACTCTTTCTCAGCCCCCTTATTGGAGGAGGCTTATAAATATACATTCAGCATTTGGTAACGGAATTGTGCAAATAATTTATAAATCTTACCCTACTCCAAGTTACAATGTTAAGAAAATTTTAATTTCATTTCCCCCTTGCAAGCGAAGACAATAAGCCATGTTAGATGTGAGGACCTCACATTTGAAACTACACTTGTAAGTCCTTAATGACACTGTTTCTATCTCTGTTAAATAATTGGTAACATAATATGGTACTGGGTAATTACCCATAAAATAAAATAAATCCACGAGTCCATACTGATATAAGGATATAATTGAATAAATAAATAAGTGGAGAGAGATTATTTCAATTGATAAATGTAGAAGGAATGATGGAAACAGAAAATCATCATTAGGGAAACACCCCAGTAATAACTGTTGTGGGCAAGAAGCATTGGTAGCTGCTAGATGTAGTGGGTGAAAGTATGAAGGGAAACAGAATAGCATCTCCCCACAAGATACTTTTAATTACTAATTATCCAATAGGGTAGCAAATGCTGCCAGCTTGAAATCCTTGGAAAAAGATGGAAAACTGTCTTTAGCTGAGAAGTGTTTACTAAACAGCCATTAAAGCTCTACCTCTTGTGAATGCAACAAAATAAATAACCAATGTTTTAAAGATCACTTCAGTAGTAATAAGATATGTTGACAGCATGTACCCCCTGATATGATGCACTGAGCACAACATCACTTCCTTAGTATTCTTGCCAAAAAGTGCACCCTGAATCTAGGAAGAAAACCTCAAACTCAATCTCTAAAATAACCACTACTCTTAAAAGTGTCAAGGTCATGAAAGACAAAGACTGTGGAACTGTCGCAGACTGAAGCAGACTAAGGAGACATGACAACTCAATGCAATGTAGGATCCTGGATTAGATCTAGGAGTATAAAAGACATCAGTGGGAAAACTGGTGAAATTTAAATAAGGTCTGTGGATTAGTTACTAGTATTATATCAATATTAATTTCCTGGTTTCAATAATTGTATCATGTAAGATGTTTACATTAGGGGAAGTTGGGTAAGTAAGAATAAAGGGAACTCCATTTTACTTTCACAACTTTCCTGTTGGTCCAAAATTATATTTTAAAAAATGAAAGAAAATCCAAAAGATTTTAAAAATAAAATCAAAGCAAAAACAATGTTAGTAATGTTCATATTTCACAACAAAATAACCACTATGAAAATGCTTCAAATTTTGTTTAAAATATTAACTATATTATAAAGTGAAATTGATTTAAAGAGTGCAAAACTGGCATAGGAAAAGATTTAAAGGTCGAAGTCTAGAAACAGACCCACAATATACCATCTATGAGAATTCACTACGTAACAGTGATATTTCAGATTAATGGAGAAATTATATTTTATTCAATAAAAATGTAGGGCAGCTAGCTAGCCATCAGGAAGAAACTTTAAGCAAGTTATTACCTCATTCCTTACATGTAAATAAATTCAAATTTAAACCTAAAAGCTAATAACTTAAAATAATAGAAAACATAAGCAGATTATTTAAATCTTGGGGTGAAAACGCCATTCTAAACATGACACAAAAAGCAGAAGTCATAAAGATTTGACCTCATAAAAATAATAAATTTAAATATGGGAAAAAAGTACAATGAACAATTAGAAGACAAGTGGCAGGCAGGAAGAAAATATTTGTAGAATAGGAAAAAAAGATTACTATCAATAAAATAGAGCTCATACAAATAAATAGGAAGAGGACAAAAATCTCAATAGAAAAACTGTCAAAACAAGAACAGGGAATTGACATGAGAAATGGCCAATAAAATGTGAAAAGATACCCAATCTCACTTCTTATTAAGGAAATGCAAGATTTAAACAAAATTTTAAAATTCTGTCAGATTTGTAAAAGTTCAAAGAACTGGTAATATTGGTGAGGATATGAGGAAATGGGTACTCCTACATTGTTAGGACTGTGTAATGCTAAAACCTTTTGAAAGGGAAATTTAGCAGCAATAACTTTTATGTATGTATATCTTTTTTACCTCACAATTTTACTTTTAGGAATTTATCCTACAGGAATATTAGCATGAATACATACAAATGTATATATGCATAAATATATCATTTGGCAGCATTCTTTGTAATATTGAAAAATGGAAATTAGCTGGAAGTCTATCAGTAAGGGAATGATTATATTAAAAGTTGTACGTTTGTACAATGGAATAATATTTAATTTAAGTTGTCCAAAATATAGTATTAAATTTTAAAAAGTGAGTTGGAGAACACTGTGTATAAACCAGAGGTTCCCAAATTTTCTCGGCTCACGATGCCTTTAATGTCTTACTAAATTTTTTGCAGTCCCCATAGGCCAAAATAAATGCCTAGTGGTTCCATTTATTAAGCAGGTAAGAAAAGTCAAAACCATATCTTCTTGTGGTATATATACACAATGGAATACTACTCAGCCATAAGAAACGATGAAATCCAGCCATTTGTGACAACATGGATGGACATTGAGGGTATTATGCAAAGTGAAATAAGTCAGAGGGAGAAGGTCAAATACCGTAAGATTTCCTTCATTAAGTAGTAGATAATAACAACAATAAACAAACACATAGAGACAGAGATTGGATTGGTGGTTACCAGAGGGGACGGGTGGAGGGAGGAGGGCGAAAGGGATAATTTGGCACATGTGTGTGGTGATGGGTTGTAATTAGTATTTGGGTGGTGAACATGATGTAATCTATGCAGAAATAGAAGTATAATGATGTACACCTGAAATGTATACAATGTTATAAACCAACGTTACTGCAATAAACAAAAAATTAAAAAAAAAGAAAACCATATCTTCTTGTAAAAACCATACACTTTAATATTTTTATTTGACTTTCTCACTGATAGCAAAAATGAACAAATAGCTATAATAGTTTAAAAATACAGGTTTCCGGGGCCAGCCCGGTGGCATAGTGGTTAAGTTCACACGCTCTGCTTTGGTGGCCCGAAGTTTGCCGGTTAGGATCCCAGGTGAGGACCTACACACTGCTCAACAAGCCATGCTGTGGCGATGTCCCGTATAGAAAGTGGAGGAAGACTGGCACAATTGTTAGCTTAGGGACCATCTTTCTCAAGCAAAAAGAGGAAGATTAGCAACAGATGTTAGCTCAGGGCCAACCTTCCTCTCAAAAAAAATATAAAAAAAATAAAAATACAGGTTTCCCAGCAATTCCACTCCAAGGTATATACCCCAAAAAGGTGAAAACAGGGACTCAACCAGATACTTGTACACCAATGCTCATAGTGTAACAGCTAGATCTTAAGTAAGCATGAGGGAAGCCACCTTAGGGAAAGGAAGTAATATTGTAGCTGTGATCCTGACTCACCAGTCTCTGTGAATACACGCTAGCCTGCACGTAGCCTAGATGATTAAGCACCTCTCACTTTTGCAAAATACATGATCTGCTAGCTCTATGACTCTTGCTTACATATATCTCCCAGCTGTTATAAGATGATAATTTTGTTCTCTGAGTTCCCGAAGAACATGATGACCTCCGGAAAGAAAAACTGTGCTGGTACCCATCACGAATGACAGAAGAAAGAGATAATGTGGCTCCATGAAGTTCATCACACCGGATGATTAACATCCCTAAACCCCCGCCTTCCCTGCCCATTTCCCCTATATAACTGCCTCAAGATTCTGTATGATTTTAAGGTGGCTCTTTAGGACACTAGTCCACCATCGTCCAATTGTGCTAAGGTGGCTCTTTAGGACACTAGTCCACCATCTTCCAATTGTGCTAAGGTGGCTCTTTAGGACACTAGTCCACCATCTTCCAATTGTGCTAGCTAATCATATAAACTTTCCTTTCTCAACCACCAACTGGTTTGCAATTGATTGGCACTGGATTGCCACGAGCAGAATGAGCCCGTTTTTCCTTGGTTACAATAGCAGCATTATTCACAATAGCCAAAAGGTGGAAACAATCCAAGAGTTCATCAATAAATGAATGGATAAACAAAATGTGGTATATACATACAATGGAGGATTATTCAGCCATAAAAAGGAATGAAGTTCAGACACATATTACAACATGAAATTACAACATTGAAAAATTATGCTAAGTGAAATAAGCCAGACACGAATGGACAAATATTTTATGATTCCACTTATATGAAATATCTAGAATAGGTAAATGCATAGAAACAGAAAGTAGGTTAGAGGTTACCAGTGGTTGGAGGGAGGAGAGATGGGGAGTTATTGCTTAATGAGTACAGAGTTTCTGTTGGGGTGATAAGAATTTTTTGAAGTAGTGGTGATGGTTGCACAACATTGTGAACATAATTAATGCCACTGAATTATACACTCAAAAATGGTTAAAATGGCAAATTTTATGTTATAGATATTTTACAATAAATAAATTTTAAAAATAAAAATACAGGCTTCCTCATCCTCTTCATATTTTGAAAAGTTGGTTCATTTGTGTCTACAAGATTAGATCTTAAAAGATCTGGAATTATTTCTCATTCAACTAGCTGTTTTGTGAATTCCCAGAATATAAAGGGCCAGCAGGCTGAATTCACACTTGTTACTATTCCTCATTGTTAGCAATTGGAAAACTACGGTAACTTAAAAAACTAAGTTAAACTCAAGATTGTGACATTTAGCCGTTGGGAAACATAATCACAGCATGTAACCTGTGTAACTGAATCAAAGATCCTTATGTTTTTTTTGTATAGTAGAGTCACATCAAACCGACATTTAATCGTCTCTAATTCAGCTCTACTCCTGTTGGGGTGGGAGAAGAACACAGTGTGTAATCATCTAAGACTAGATTTCCAGCCTCTCCACTGAGCAGAAGCCTGAAGACAGTATGTTCCCTTAATGAGTCTCGGCTCCCCCAAGCCCCTTAAGTATGAGCCTCTCCTCCACACTAATTCTTTATTTAAAGCAATAGTGTGTATTTTTGTACAACGTGGCCTCTATGTACTTGTAAATCAACCACTTCACCTGCTGCTCAACCAAAACAGTGATCTATTCCTACATGAAGAAAAACTGGCTGTTTGGGATTTATTGAGAGATGATGTGTGGTTCTCTGCAGGGCTTTTCATGAGTCATGCAGACTATACCTGATTTTCACCTTTTTCAGCCTAATCTGTGAATCAACTCCAATTTTGCTCTTTCCAACTGGTGAATCTAATTCATTTGGGCACTCTCTTCAGCCTACATTACAGGATACAATCCAAGTTCCTTACTATGTTCAATAATGCCCTTCAACTCACTTTACCAGCATAACTGATCAAACCTTCTCCTCTCCCACATTCCTCCTCTGCCCCAATTACTCTGCCTTCCAGCTACATCAAAAGCATACATGTGCTCAAACTACATTTTTATAGTGGAAAGAGCAGGGATTTCAGAGTCAGATAAACCAGGTTCAAATCCTAGCTTGCCCGCTTAGCTCTGCAACCCTGGGCAGATTACTTGAACTCGCTGAAACTTAGTTTCTTATCTGGAAAATGGGAATAATCTTAGTTAAACTTTTAAAGTTGCTGTGAGGTTTAAATAATCCATACAGTACAATCAATAAATATATATTTTTGCCTTTCCTTCATGATTTATGCACACTGTTCCTTCTGAGAGGAATACCTTTCTCCCTCCTTTCTACCTGGCACATTCTTACTCTCCTTTAAGATCCAGTTAAATGTCACTTAGCTCCCCTTTGATCCCACAATTCCACTTCTAGGTATCTATTCTAGTAAAATATTTGTACACATACACAAAGAGGCATGTACAACAATAATTATTGAAGAACTTTTTATAATAGCAAAAAATTGGAAACCAAAATGTCCATCAATAGGGGACTGTCTAAATAAACTGTAACAATCCATATTACGGAATATATGCAGTGGTTAAAAGAGTTATATGTGCTGCCATGGAAAGCTTCTGAATACCTAAGTGAGAAAAAATTATGAAAAGTATGCACTGTAGGTCACATTATGTATATGTGATTTATAATATAGATTTATATTATATATATAACATAGATTATATATGTAGTATTTTACATTTATTTATGTATACTCATAGAAAATTGTTTAGAAGGATGTGTACCAAACCACACCTGGGGAGGAAAGTGGGATGGGGAGGGTGTATAAAGGGGGACTCACGCTGTGCTTTATTGTTTGTTTTACTAGAATGAGAGTCTAATCATGTATTACTGGTAGAATTTTTTAAAGGAAAAAGGCACCTTTTCTCTAACATTTTCTTCAACTCAGAGTCACTTCTTTCCACTGCAGTCTCACTGGACTGGGCTGTGTGTGGTGATTGTTTCCTTGTGTCTGTCTCCCCCCAAAATGGTTGAGTGAACTGCAGAGGCTGTATCCCCAGCAGGAGGCCTGGCAGATTAGATGCTCAATAAATGATTGTAGTATAAAGGTAAAACCAAACAAAGAATTTGCATAGAAAAGCACGTCTTAAATTACAGAGGATGTACCAACAGTTAAAACGGAATAAAAACTGGAAAGAGAAGTGGGGGAGACAGTGTTATGCTGAGGCCCTGTATCTGCAACCACAAATAAAAGCTGTTGCTAAAGGAGAGGCAGCATGTAAAGCAAAGAGAAGGGACTGGAGACCTGCTCTGAGCTGTAGACCTAAAGCCTCCACTAACCACCTTCGCTTCTCTGGCTTCTGTTTCGCCATCTGTAAAATTAGGAGTGGTACTTTTCTAGCTGTAACATGTTGTAATTCTAGGTGATTGCTTCATCAAGCTTATGAGCATTGCTCTCTAGTCGGTCACCAGTGTAACTCGAAGCCTTGTGAGTTAATCATTACGGCTCTCCCGGGCAAGAACCCTTCATCCGGCTCGCTTCTCCGAGTCCCGAATTGACCTTCATTGCTCAGTCAAGCATCAGTACCTTTATAAAAGCCTTCCCACGCGAGCTCCCTGGAGCAAAGTTTACCCCTCTCCCTGCGTCCCCCAGAGCAGCCCCAAACCCCGGCAGCTCGGAATCTGCAGGAACAAGAACTGCAAATGGGTGCCACATCCCCAGGTGCCAAGAGCAATGGGTCTGACTTTTAACGGGAAGCCTAGAGAAGCAAGCGAGCACCTTCACCAGTGCCATCCCTTCCCTGGTGCTCTCCCTTTCCCCGGGGACCACCGAGCTCACCCCAGAGCGCAGAGTCCGCAGACCCGAGGATCGCCCAGCGCGCACTCCAGAGCAGCAGCCGCAGCAGCACCATCTCCACTCGCGCCCGCCCGGCTACTGACCACTTCCTTCTGCTCTTCCTCCTCCTCCTCCTCCTCCTCCTCCTCCTGCAGCCGCCGGGCGAGCCGCGTCGGGCTCTTGGGCGCCCTCCAGCCAGGCTCCGGCCGAACCGGGTAGTGCCACAAGGCGTAGTCGTTGACAGCAACGTACCCTGCTTTAAAACTGAACATCCTTTGCAAAGAAACTAAGTGTTGGGCTTGCCTTTTTGTTTTGATTATTATTTTTTCATGGAGAGACAAATTTGAGAAGTGGAAAGTAGAAAATATACCAAAGATAATATTTAAAGATTTAAAGTAAATACATTTCTCTAATTTACTTTATAACAGGATTCTCATACATTGGATTAAGGCAAACTACATGGACGCTTGTTTAAGAATTGCTCTTAACGCCAATAGCTGGTTCAATTGATGTCAGTATTAAGGTAATCTCATGCTGTCATCTTTTCCCCACAACTTGATGACTGTATATTTGATGATGGCTTTGTCAGGGTTAGGTTCAACTATTTTATAACATGTGTTAGTTTCCAATTGCTACTGTAACAAATTACCACAAAGTTACTGGCATAAAACACTACAAATTTATTATGCACAGTTTTGTAAGTCAGGTGTCAGCAAACCTGTGTTCCTTCTGAAGGCTCTAGGGGAGAATTTCTCTACTTGCCTTTTTCGTCTACTAGAGACTGCCTACATTTCTTGGCTTGTGGTCTCTTTCCCCATCTTCAAAGCCAGCGGTTTAGTATTTTCAAATCTCTCTCTAACTCTGACCTCTGCGTCTGTTGTCACATCCCCTTCTCTTTCCCTGGTGCTTCCGCCTTCCTTTTATAAGGACCTTCGTGATTATACTAGAACCACTCCGATAAGTCAGGATAATCTCCCTATCTCAAGATCCTTAATTTAATCATATCTGCAAAGTCCTTTTGCCATGTAAGGTAACATATTCACAGGTTCTGGGAATTAGAACACCTTTGGGGGAGGAGACATTATTCAGCCTACCACATAAAGTTTCTTATTACCTTGTTTTTAATTTATTCTCAATTTGGTTCATTACCTTATTTTTGATTTATTCTCAACTTAGTTCCCAAGCATAATGAAGCTATATTTAACTGCATATTTATTCACAGTGAAAAATTAAAAATTAATTTCTAAATGGCACTGTTAAAGTATGTGTCCAAGGAATAATTTCATTAAGCAGTTTTCAATAATTTAATAAATAAAACCACTTCTGGTTTCTATATCAATGACATTACTTACAATTATGTTTTTCCAAATCATTTGGAGCTTAACCTTAGTCTCTGTGTAATCTATTGGATAAACTTTGATGTCATTATACATTGTAGATTCATGTACTCCCCATGGCGTCTCCAAGCTGTCCTGAATATGCATCATCAACCACAGGTAGTATGGACACAGAAATGCAAACGATGTACTTGGCCTCAATGAATCACATTTAATCTGATTTACACTTTTGCAAGGGCACGTATTGCTAAGCAATTCTTTTTCCAATGTTTATGACATTATTTGAGAAATATTTTTCTGTAGGATTTTTCCTTTTTCTGAAAAGATGAATATGTCCTCCCTTATCTTGCACAGTGCCAACCTTGGTTTATTTAAGAATCCTTGGAGCATAAAGACCTTGTCAATACAGAGTCTTGATCATTGGTCCTTGGACAAACGTCCAAGTGCTTCCTTCAGAGAGAGTCAGCAAGGCTTAAAGTGGGATGAAAGGGAGAGAAATAGTTTAACTCTTCTGGGAAAGGTCTACTAGTGTAGAGTTGTTATGAATCGTTAATTCTCCAACAACTCATTTTATTTTTTGCCATAATGCCAGTGAAAGGCAATTGGAAAGGTGGAGATTTTTCCCATTTCTTTCTAAATCCACTTCAAGCCCCCAGATATTAGACAAATCAAGTGAAGGGTTAGGAAATGTATTGCCTTTCATCCAACTTTTTTCAAAAGACTTTCTATCAAAACTTAAAATGAATATCTATCGACTCGGCATTTCTACTGCTAATAGTCTACCTACTGAAATTATTTGCACAAGTAGACAAAGATAAATGTACATGAACAGGGGACCAATTGGGAAAAAAATGATACATCCATTCACTGGAGTCCTAAGCAACTAGTCAAAACAATGAGGCTAATGTGGAGATATGTCCAAAACATACTAAGCAAAAAAAAATCAAGCTGTAGAATAGAATGTAGACTGCCATCTAATCTGACTGTGTTCTCTTTTAACAAAAGGTAATCATATAAAAAGATGGTACAAATGCAAATTGTATGTGCAAAGACAATTCTTTACCTTTGAGGAAAGGAAATGAGAGTGCAGGAAGGAGGAAAAGATGAGAAACTTTATATTAAACTATCATGTATTACTTTTACAATAAAGAGTGTGTCTTAAAAAATACGGGATAAAAATTTAAAAGATATATGTATAGCCTATTGCTTAGCAGAGTATCCCATACATTTCCAGGCAGAACAATGATGGTAAAATTAAGATATTTAACATTATTTGAAATATATACACAGTTAGCTGATCTTAAGCAAATTTGTATTTTCATTTGATGTTTTGTCATAATGGGTTGCAACAGCACTAAAAATATACTTACTGGGTACCATTTAAAAATGATTTCCTTCATTTGAAGACTCTATCAAATAGTAAATTTTAATTTCAATTGTGTGAAAAGATAAATAATTTGAAGAACATCAGATATAAAAACTTAGTATTAGACAGTTTTCCCTAACTCATGCCAAGTTTTGAAATACAGATTGCAATCTCTGGAGATTTTGGTCATGCTAAGGGTACATCTGCTGGAAATGAAGATAGCTTTGGAATTTTGTCATTTTCAAGAAAAATTTAAGTATTGTATATTGGTTTGCATAATTCCTAAATTTCTTTTTATGAGAAAGAGAACCTAAATTTCCATATTCTAATTCAATCCCCTCTCTTTTTTTTACTATAAATTGGATTCCGATATATGATACATTTCAAAAAATCCTTTTTACTGCAATGCAATTCAGTACGCAAATTATTTAAATTTGCTCAAGTTCACGTCTTATTTCTCTCCATGTTCTGTTTCAAATCTGACGTTAAAATAAATGAAAACTTTTCATTTATGAAGTAAACAATTTAACTTCAAAATTACACCACAACAAGACTTATTCTTTTTTTTTTCCTTTTTTTTTTTTCCGGAGGAAGATTGGCCCTGGGCTAACATCTGTGCCCATCTTCCTCTACTTTATATGGGACACCGCTACAGCATGGCTTGACAAGCGGTGTGTGTGTCTGCACCCGGGATCCGAACCTGCAAACCCCAGGCTGTGGAAGCGGAGCGCACAAACTCAACCACCACGCCACCTGGCCCAACATGACTTATCCTTATTTGGGGAATATTTCCTTTTTACTGGTGAAAAAAATTCCCCTACTCCAAAGCATAGATTATGTACCCCTAGGTCTAGCACAGTGACTGGCGTATTTGTATTCAGTTATATTCATTGAATGAATGGTTTCCATACATACAATGTAAACATCTGGTTACCTCCTTAGCCAAATTCTCTACATGGAAATAATTTTAACTATTTTGTAAGAAACGAATTAGAGTTTTTAAGGGAAAATCAGAGTTTTCTGGTTTATTTCTGGTATCTTTTGACTCGTAATCCAAGGCTCTATCCATAAGGTCACATCTGTCCCCCGTGAAGAGTTGTGAAAGATCACAAGACTTGTAGAAGTTATCCATAACTAGTGTTGTTTGCAATATCATCAAACAAAATATTCTCAAATCAACTACTTTAACTGAACATATGCAATATGCAGACCACTTTAACGGATAATCTAGCTTTGAAGAGGTATAGGTGTAGGTCAAGAAATTTCCTGTCTAGCAAAGAAGTGAAAACGACAGGTAAGACAATAATAATGAAAAAATGAAAGATAATACACGATGCATGTCAGATGTGACTGTATGGTACGGAAAAGTCCGACGGAAGGGAGGGAAGTCGGAGGCTGTCCGGCCAGGCGCCCAACAACAAGTGGGGCTTCATCTTAGCTCTGGGAAAAGCCCAGCGGCGCACTCCAGGGAGCTCCTCGGATCCAGTTTGGAGTCCCCCGCTGTTGCTCTAAGATTAGCCGGGGCCTATCCGGCTCTGCCAAAGTAGATAGCGCAGGCGCGACGCGAGCCGGCCCCGCCCCGGCCCCGCCCCACTCCGCGGGCGCGGCCCCGACTCCGCCTGGGCGTGGGGGCAGGCACACGAGGCCCCGCCCACGCCGGTCCCCGAGCGGCCGCGCAGGCGCAGTCTTTTCGGGTTATAGACGCGGCGGCTCGGCCCGGCGGGGTGAGTCGGGGGTGCACCGCTGGGGTTGCCGCAGTGTCTCGGTCTTCGCTTCCAAAACCCCGGCCCTTTGTGGCGTGACAGGCCTGGGAGAGAGGCTCCCTGCTTCCCCTTGCCTTCCTGATCCCTGGGGGCGCCAGGCGGTCACCGAGGGCCGCGTGAGCGCGGCCGGAGCGGCCCGGTGTCCGGGTGGCGGCGGGAGGAGCCGGTTGTCGGGGCGGGAAAGGGGCCGCCGGGGGGGGCCCGGGCCCGCCTCATCGTGACGGAGGGGCGGGGGCCCGACGCCCTGCTCGCCTCTCTCGCCTGGTCTCTCCTCACAGCGCGTTTTCTCTGCAGAACCTGTGGATGTTTTTGTTAGTGACCTAAGTAAAGGAAGCATGTCTAACCACGGGGTTCTGGCAGCGTGGTGCGGTATGAGGCGCTCTGGAGGGCCAAATCCCCATCCCCCACTTCACTTACCTCTGCACGTAACCTAACCTCTGGGTGGCTCAGTTTCTTCACGTGTAGAATTGGGAAGATAATAGTAACCTACCTCATAAGGCGGTTGTGAGGATTAAGTGAGTTAGTATCTTTGAAGTGCTTAGACCTGAGCGTGATGCACAGCAAAAGTATGTAAGTGCTGTTCATCTTTTTGAGCCTGGTATGTAAAAGGACAGTTGTGTCCCTCTCCTCCTGCCGCTGGCCTCTGCACTAGAAATAATT